ACATACTAACACCAACCACCAACACTGGACTCCTCTTAGAAAATAGACATACAAACACCAACCACCAACACTGGACTCCTCTCAGAAAATAGACATACAAACAACAACCACCAACACCAGATCCCTCTCAGAAAATAGACATACAAACAACAACCAACACTGGACTCCTCTCAGAAAATAGACATACGAACAACAACCAACAAGACATGGTCCAGATAGCCTGACTTGGTGCTGAAGTCACAGACTATGATGAGGTTCAAATAACTTTATGTGCACACAAACCTCTACCTTTGTCTTATCTAGACCATAATGTTGTAAAAGTAAACATTATGTTTTTCTATTGAATGATCTTATTTGCTTACCAATAGTGAATACCGTAAAACTGACCTCATCACAAATTTCTTAATGCCCCAGAGAATGACAGAAATAGAATACCTAATCTTGCTTCAACGGCTAGCTGGCACATGCAACACAATAACAAAAATAATGGAGCAGCATTGATTGAAATGCAGTTAGTCACTAATTATTTTTTTATTGTTCAGTTGCTGTCTTATTGACTTATATTCCACATCTCCTTTTATTCTTAATATTGTAAAATTTGGCTTGATCCCGTAAAATATTTTTACTGAACTAAACTTTGAATAAAATATATAATTATAAGATTTTTAAACATTATCCATTTGTTTCCATTATAAAAAAGAATTTCATAAATCAATTTCTAAGTGATAAGCTATCTAAAACACTGCTTAGTCAAATAAATTCTGCATAACCATTCTGGATTGTATGTCTTGCAAAAGAATACTAAACAATGTGTAATACATTTTGTACTGTAAATACCTTCTTTCCATCTATGTCATGTGATAATATTATCATTGAATGATACTAACAAATCTACAAGTACTTATTGTATCCATAAAAAATCATCCAAACTGAACAGTCCTTTTTCAAACCAAAAATACAGAATTCAGACTGTGTTTACTTAGAACTTATGTTAATTATGAAACCCTTAAAAAAAGAAGTAAAAGTTGACTTAACTCAAAGTCTTTGAGTAGAATCAGTGTAATATTCTACAACAAAGTAGACAGTGCAGATTGAAAGTCAGATAATTTTCTTTAAACAAGGCATAAGTGTTTTGTAATTACAATGTATATCTCTAGGTGTCTGTTTCTGTAGAATGATTGGCATGTTTTGACAGCTTTGATGTTAATTTCCTCCATGTAACCTACATGTGTTTCTGATTATATATAATTGTGGAATGGTATTCTAGAACCTGCTCATTTTTGCTTTTGATGATGTAGTTTGATATTCATCAGATCTATTATTGATTTTAATGACTATCTATCTATTAATAAATGTTTGCATCATTGTATTCATAATTGCAAGTATGAGGATGAATTCTAAAAAGGTGTTTGCGCACATATTGGGCTGAATTCTAATCGGGTGTTTTTACATATAAACCTTATATAAGAAGGATACCTTGTAGGGCGTGGTAAAACCTATCACTGAGGCCACCGTTAACAAATTCTTTGTTTGATGTTGCCTACCCATGCCTTATAGGGTTAGGTAGATAGGTAGGGATTTTATTTGGTTTTTGGCCAACAATAGAAGTTACAGAAGAAGAAGAAGAAGAAGATGTTTTATTTCCATCAAACTACCAGATATGTGCACACATAAGGCTGAATTCCTACCAGGTGTTTGCATATATCTCATTGAATTTAAAACAGGTGTTTGCAAACATGTCAGGCTGAAATCTAACCAACAGTTTGCACATACAAGGCTGAATTCTAACCTGATGTTTGCACACATAAGGCTAAATTCTAAGCAGGTGTTTTACCTGTATATACAATAGTAAGACTTAAAAGTACCTAGTTGTGGCTATAATGTTTATTAGGGCCCAATTGAATAATTAGCAGAAGGTCTTTTGTAATCGGCTAGACTTCTGTATGTCACAAATTGTTTCTGTTCTAAAGCTGTTTGGAGTCTAGTGATGAAACTTGGCATATCATTTACCACTACTAGAAAGTGTGTTCCATACAAAAAGGATACCTTGTAGGGCGTGGTAAAACCTATCACTGAGGCCACCGTTAACAAATTCTTTGTTTGATGTTGCCTACCCATGCCTTGTAGGGTTAGGTAGATAGGTAGGGATTTTATTTGGTTTTTGGCCAACAACAGAAGTTACAGAAGAAGAAGAAGAAGATGCTTTATTTCCATCAAATGGGCTCACAAGGAGCATAATATAATATCATGATAATATTATTTTTTACAAATATAATGAACAATACAGTATACATAGTTACAAACACAAATAAGAAACAACAGTTTTCACATATTCGTACATATATAGGAGTATATATAAAAACCTTCGTCTCAGGCACACCTCTAGAAAGTAACAAAATAAAAAGAATTCTGTGAGTAGGCTAAATATATCTAGCTTAACTGCAGGAGGCACCAAGGGACGGTGCTATATGGCATGGTGGGTGCATATTAAAATGTGTATCGGGACATTAACATGATTAATGATATATGGTAAGATATTGTAAGAAGTTGCACATAACTGGTATGTCATCCTCGTGCCTGATGTAGAGGAGTCAGTACTATTTAAAGTGACACAACTGCATGAGGCACCAAGGGACAATGCTAATTGACATGCCAAAGTGCACATATTACGAAAAGATAAAATATTACCAGTTTAATCAAGAAATATCACAAACAGAAAGGTAATAGTGCTTATACGATGTGTCCTGTACCCCACCATGCCAACCTCGTGCCTAGTGCAGAAAGCCTGATTTAAATATTTATCTTTCAAGTTATATTTTGTCTTCATCAACTAACTCACAGACAGATATCAAGATATCCAGATTCTCTACATTAAGAAGCCATATCAGTTTTTGGCTAGGAATCAAATGCATAAAGTTTGGGCATAGTGAGTTAATAGTGGAATTTAAACAATTTCTCTTATCTTGAGATGATGTACACGAAAATTACATGTTTTAGACAAGAAAACAACGTTAGAGCAGGAATTATCTTTAACAAAAAATTTGAACTGATTTGTGTCATAAAATTTTTTGGGTAGGCAGCTTTTTAGGTGGGTAGGTAGGCAACATCAAACAATCAAAATTTTATTTTTGGTCTGATTATTTCCTTTCTTTTTTAGAGAATTTATCAAGATTATTAAGGTTGGAAATCAAAACAATATGAAGATCATGTTTAAATGCGAAACCTTTTTATTGACTCTTATATAAGTGATTGATGAATCAGTAAAGTTTCTTCCTTCCATGGAGATAATCTTCATTTGCATGGAATAACCCTGGTAACTTCTGCAATTACATCAAAATTTTCATATGTACAGGTTGTGGGGCTCCCTGTTATGGCTCTACACTATACTTTAGTTTTAAATGAAGCTCTGATTTTACTTGATTTGATAAAAGTCTTGTATTGTTATATTTTTACTTCACTATGACTCTCACTGATCTATGACAATTAATAATTCAAGCTTTTGTTGTATAAAAGACTGTCTATATCATGTATATAGTGGTAAAAACGCCGACATGTCTACCTGTTGGCAATTAAAAAAGTTCACCTTAATTATTGATTAGAAATTAAATTCTTCATTTTTCATCTTGAGTAAGTGGCTCTTTATATACCATACTAGAATAACACATTTAACCGACATTGATTCTTTATACCATTCTAGAATAACACCTTTAACTGACATTAAATCTTTATACCATACTAGAATATTAGGTTTAACCGACATTGATTCTTTGTACCATACTAGAATAACAGGTTTAACCGACATTGATTCTTTATACCATACTAGAATAACATGTTAAACCGACATTGATTCATTATGTCATCTTAGAATAACAGGTTTAACCGACATTGATTCTTTATACCATACTAGAATAACAGGTTTAACCTACATTGATTCTGTATACCATACTAGAATAACAGGTTTAAACGACATTGATTCTTTATACCATACTAGAATATTAGGTTTAACCGACATTGATTCTTTGTACCATACTAGAATAACAGGTTTAACCGACATTGATTCTTTATACCATACTAGAATAACAGGTTTAACCGACATTGATTCTTTATACCATACTAGAATAACATGTTAAACAGACATTGATTCATTATGTCATCTTAGAATAACAGGTTTAACCGACATTGATTCTTTATACCATACTAGAATAACAGGTTTAACCTACATTGATTCTGTATACCATACTAGAATAACAGGTTTAACCGACATTGATTCTTTATACCATACTAGAATATTAGGTTTAACCGACATTGATTCTTTGTACCATACTAGAATAACAGGTTTAACCTACATTGATTCTTTATACCATACTAGAATAACAGGTTTAACCTACATTGATTCTTTATACCATACTAGAATAACAGGTTTAACCTACATTGATTCTTTATACCATACTTGAATATTAGGTTTAACCGACATTGATTCTTTGTACCATACTAGAATAACAGGTTTAACCGACATTGATTCTTTATACCATACTAGAATAACAGGTTTAACCTACATTGATTCTGTATACCATACTAGAATAACAGGTTTAACCGACATTGATTCTTTATACCATACTAGAATATTAGGTTTAACCGACATTGATTCTTTGTACCATACTAGAATAACAGGTTTAACCTACATTGATTCTTTATACCATACTAGAATAACAGGTTTAACCTACATTGATTCTTTATACCATACTAGAATAACAGGTTTAACTGACATTGATTCTTTATACCATACTAGAATAACAGGTTTAACCAACATTGATTCTCTATACCATACTAGAATAACAGGTTAAGCCAACATTGGTTCTTTATACCATATAAGAATAACAGGTTTAGCCGACATTGGTTCTTTATCCTTGTTTTATTTTTAGTTTGATGTTTGCATCACCAACATTTTGTATCCTGTGAGTATGTTAAATTTGTACAATAATTTTTTTCTTTCATTTCAGGTATCTTGGAAAATCTGGCCTGCGAGTATCTTGTGTAGGCCTAGGTAAGTTCTCATCTGTAAGAAGTTAATGTAAAGGCCTGAATAAGTTCTCATCTAGTCTGTGAATATCTTGTGTAGGCCTAGGTCAGTTCTGGTCTGGTCTGTGAATATCTTGTGTAGGCCTAGGTCAGTTCTGGTCTGGTCTGTGAATATCTTGTGTAGGCCTAGGTCAGTTCTGGTCTGGTCTATGAATATCTTGTGTAGGCCTAGGTCAGTTCTGGTCTGGTCTGTGAATATCTTGTGTAGGCCTAGGTCAGTTCTGGTCTGGTCTGTGAGCATCTTGTGTAGGCCTAGGTCAGTTCTGGTCTGGTCTGTGAGTATCTTGTGTAGGCCTAGGTCAGTTCTGGTCTGGTCTGTGAGTATCTTGTGTAGGCCTAGGTCAGTTCTGGTCTGGTCTGTGAGTATCTTGTGTAGGCTTAGGTCAGTTCTGGTCTGGTCTGTGAGTATCTTGTGTAGGCCTAGGTCAGTTCTGGTCTGGTCTGTGAATATCTTGTGTAGGCCTAGGTCAGTTCTGGTCTGGTCTGAGTATCTTGTGTAGGCCTAGGTCAGTTCTGGTCTGGTCTGTGAGTATCTTGTGTAGGCCTAGGTCAGTTCTGGTCTGGTCTGTGAGTATCTTGTGTAGGCTTAGGTCAGTTCTGGTCTGGTCTGTGAGTATCTTGTGTAGGCCTAGGTCAGTTCTGGTCTGGTCTGTGAGTATCTTGTGTAGGCCTAGGTCAGTTCTGGTCTGGTCTGTGAGTATCTTGTGTAGGCCTAGGTCAGTTCTGGTCTGGTCTGTGAGTATCTTGTGAAGGCCTAGGTCAGTTCTGGTCTGGTCTGTGAGTATCTTGTGTAGGCCTAGGTCAGTTCTGGTCTGGTCTGTGAGTATCTGGTGTAGGCCTAGGTCAGTTCTGGTCTGGTCTGTGAGTATCTGGTGTAGGCCTAGGTCAGTTCTGGTCTGGTCTGTGAATATCTTGTGAAGGCCTAGGTCAGTTCTGGTCTGGTCTGTAAGTATTTGGTGTAGGCCTAGGTCAGTTCTGGTCTGGTCTGTGAATATCTTGTGAAGGCCTAGGTCAGTTCTGGTCTGGTCTGTGAATATCTTGCGAAGGCCTGGGTCAGTTCTGGTCTGGTCATTGAGTATCTTGCGAAGGCCTAGGTCAGTTCTGGTCTGGTCTGTGAGTATCTTGTGTAGGCCTTAGTCAGTTCTGGTCTGGTCTGTGAGTATCTTGTGTAGGCCTAGGTCAGTTCTGGTCTGGTCTGTGAGTATCTGGTGTAGGCCTAGGTCAGATCTGGTCTGGTCTGTGAATATCTTGTGAAGGCCTAAGTCAGTTCTGGTCTGGTCTGTAAGTATTTTGTGTAGGCCTAGGTCAGTTCTGGTCTGGTCTGTGAATATCTTGTGAATGCCTAGGTCAGTTCTGGTCTGGTCTGTGAATATCTTGCGAAGGCCTAGGTCAGTTCTGGTCTGGTCATTGAGTATCTTGTGAAGGCCTAGGTCAGTTCTGGTCTGGTCTGTGAGTATCTTATGTAGGCCTAGGTCAGTTCTGGTCTGGTCTGTAAGTATCTTGTGTAGGCCTAGGTCAGTTCTTGTTTGGTCTATGAGTATCTGGTGTAGGCCTAGGTCAGTTCTGGTCTGGTCTGAGTATCTTGTGTAGGCCTAGGTCAGTTCTGGTCTGGTCTATGAGAATCTTGTGTAGGCCTAGGTCAGTTCTGGTCTCGTCTGTGAGTATCTTGTGTAGGCCTAGGTCAGTTCTGGTCTCGTCTGTGAGTATCTTGTGTAGGCCTAGGTCAGTTCTGGTCTGGTCTGTGAGTATCTTGTGAAGGCCTAGGTCAGTTCTGGTCTGGTCTGAGTATCTTGTGTAGGCCTAGGTCAGTTCTGGTCTGGTCTGTGAGTATCTTGTGTAGGCCTAGGTCAGTTCTGGTCTGGTCTGAGTATCTTGTGTAAGCCTAGGTCAGTTCTGGTCTGGTATGTAAGTATCTTGTGTAGGCCTAGGTCAGTTCTGGTCTAGTCTATGAGTATCTTGTGTAGGCCTAGGTCAGTTTGGTCTGGTCTGTGAGTATCTTGTGTAGGCCTAGGTCAGTTCTGGTATGGCATATTCTGCTTTGATACTTTCCTAAATGATTATAATGGGCTGTTGGTTATTCATGATATTTGTATTTGAAGCCTTTGTACACACACGATTTTATGAATGAATTGCCAGTTTGCCAATTCTTAGAATTTATCAAAATGTTGCATGAAGTAACAAAAATATCTGCACACTGTCCTAGAAACTACTAAACAGAATGACTTCATATTTGGTTAGAAGATTAATAGTGATGAGAAATTTTGTCTACAGTAGAAAATTGATCAAATTCCATTTATTTTTCTCAATTATTCCTTTGAAAATATTTTGTTATTATATTTTCTTGCTTTGAATTTCAAGATAAAAAATAGAAAAAATTTTTGGATATTTCCCAACATTTATATTATATTTATATTCTGTTATGACATATCCAGCAGATTGATGAATGATTTCAGCTTACAGTTTTTGAAGAAATTTTACAACCTCTATTAAGTAGTTATTTTATGTTCTGCAGTTGCAATGTAATCTTCATTTTATTCATTTTACGACAGCTAACTATTAACATATCACATTGATAATGCTGATTTTCTCTGTTAATGTCATTATGTATAATCAACAGTTTAATTGAGTGTCTCAAGATGCAGCATGAAGTGCTCCAGCAGTTTTATTAGATGAACATTAGCTCAATAACTTTTGATATACTGTAAATTAAGAAAAAATTATTGTGTACATTCAATATTATGATTGTTGAACAATTGACACACAAGCAAGTTTAAAATTATTGCAATTTCAAGAAAAGGTGCATAAAAATATCTCTATCAAAATTTAAAATGGGAGTTTTTATTTTTGCTACACCTATCTTATTACAATTTTCACAATAAAAAAACGTTACAAAAATTTCTGGACTTACAATATGAAATGACAACTTTGCAAGTCTTTTTTACATTATTGGTTTGATACTAGAATGTTGGTTGTTAAGTAACAGAAAATTGGGAAATAAACTGTTTTATGTTGAGATTCTTGAAATTGATTAAAGAATAAGAAATGGGATTAGTCTAGGGAATGAATTCATTATCTTTCCTTCATTACATACAGAATTGCTAATTGCTAACTTTAAACAACATTAAGTTTTAACCAACACACATGAGGTTTAGAGGCTACATTCAAGGTTTAGAGGCTGTGTGTCTGATCACAGTCAGAAATAATTAAACTATTAAATGTCTTTGTGAAGTTACCTCACACACACAGTATAAGATAAAGTACAGGATTGTCTGAAGAAAATTGGTTAATGTTTTATTAAGTAAAATTAGACATATTTTAATAGAGTTCTGTCAGTTTAGATTTAAGTTATGTCTAATTAAATGAAACATGGTGCTCATGTAGTTAAACAGTTTAAAGTGTTTGAAAGTCTGGTAATTCTTCATATTAAGAATGTTTATGTGCCTGTCTTTATTAAGGAATCTTGCCAGTGGTTTTCTCTGTCTGTCCATGTTTTTTATGGAGAGTTGGATGATCTTATCAAATATTAAATTGTCTCTGAAATCTATTCCAAATTTGCTTTAGGGATCAGGACTTCTTAGAAAATGTAGGTGCTTATCTATTGTTGATAGCCATGTGTGTATTTGTGTCAGCTTGTGCCATTGAATTGCTGTCTTATTGACCTTAATCCCAAATCTCATTGCCTTTGTTACTTGTTATTATTTTTTTTTAATGAAGGCTAGGAGATATAATTTTTTGGTGACAACATAAAATCTTAAGCAGAAAGGCTGTAATATTTGTTTGCAGCATATTTCAATTATAGGTTTACATAAGGGTTGTATATTCCAAATTAAGGGTTTAAACCCAGATTTTCTGTTCAATGAACATGGAATTTTACCAAGGTTACCACAGCAGATGTGGGCCTTGGCCTATGATTGAAGAGGGGTAGTATAATCTGTGGGGTTATCTGGTCTGTGTGTCCTTTCTTCTATCTAATGAACCAGCTCCATGTGAAAATAATCAAATGTAAAGCAAAAAAAAAAACTACCATGTTAATGTAAATTTCTTGAGTTAAAATGAAATATTCATGTGCTCATTCTAAACTATTCATACTATATTGTTTTGTTTTATTTTATTATTAAGGATTCTTTATTTACAAACAAATTGTCTTTAAGTCCTTGACCTGATTCTGAGAATGAAGAGTAGCCAAACTTCAGACAGGTCAGATTTCTTTCTGATGCCTGTTCAACATTATTCCTCTGGCACTTCATTTTTTCCAGCAATCAGTTTTGATCTATTTATAATTGTATTTTCTACCTCTCTGTGGTTAATAAACTGATAACATCTGCTTTCATCAATTACTTTCAATCAAAATGAGATATTTATAGTTAAAATCAACAATTGTCGCCAGAAATAGAAAAGGGGGAATTTTTGGAACCATGTTTCTATTTTTTTAGTTTATGTATATAACCTGTTTCATATTACATTGTTTGTTTATATTCGTAATAGATAATATAATTGACAGATATGCAAAATGAAGATTAATTGATAAAAGTTTCATTTTGTTGATGAAGTTGTTTCTTCCCTTGTCATTGATTTTTACTTTTCAGCGTATATAGTTTATTTATTTATCTTGATCGACTGAACTTAATAATATGCAGACAAGTTTCTTTGTCGTTTTTTGATATTGTCACTGTTGCAGAATGAAAAAGAGACTATGCCTGCACATAATGTCACAAAAATAAAAGTCTGAAATAAAATTCAGTGCATGAATGTTATTTTTTGGCATTTTAAGCTAAGAGTTATTGTCACTAAATAATCAGTAGGCAAACCAATTATGTCTCTGCATCTCAAACATAGAACTTTTTTTTTAACTCTATGCTGTGTTTTTTACTTGATGCAGACTCTGGCAGATTAATTTTTCCAGAGTTTAGAAAAAATGAAAATGTCTCTGCGTAGAAAACTTGCAGCATCATTTGAACTTGTGCCTCATGACTGACGTCTTTTGGCCTTTTTCTTCACTTAATCTCAAAGAAGACAAAAGTAATTAATTGGTGTTGTTGTTTTCACAGCAGTATTTTGCCTTGAACTCTAACCTGTATTATTTTAAGGTTTTAATCACCAATGTTATTCACTGAACCACTGAAAGTTGATTATCTCATTAAAGAGTATGACAGGTAGCTGCAATTTACTAGCCTGTACAAATAGTTTATCTGCAATCTATTGACATGTGTTATATCATTGTACTGCAGAGAAAACAACTTAAAGACTGAAGGATGCTCATTTTTTTTGCAAGAACAAGCTGCTATAATTGCACTTTTGTTCTCTCTAATCTGTTATTAGACAATGTAGCATTGGGCCAATAGACTATGTTCATATAACCGACATTTGACTCAGTGGGTAGGACATCCTGGTACTTGGTCAAGTAAGAGCAACTTAAAGAAGTAAAATCAAGCTTACAATAGGTACAATTTGGGCGGAAATTTATCTGTTTCATATTTTCTATAAACGACAAAATAATCAGAAAACAGTAAACTTTCCCCCCAAATTGCACCGATTATATGTTTGATTTTACTTCTTTTGGTTGCTTTTACATGAACGAGTACATGGATGTTCTCCCCACAGAGAAGGTAACCTGTCGAAAAATTTATATAATCCGGAGTCTAATGTCGGTAATATGAAAATAGTCTATTGATCTAAGTACTTCAACAGTGATAACCAGACTGTCAACACGGAGGCAGATGTATTTGACTCTGATCTTTATTGACAAGAATTGCCAGTTTTCCTGTCAAAAGTTGATAGTTCTCTCTGGGTATTCAGGCTTCCTTTACTATTAATAATCTATCTTTAAAATTTTATTCTACGCTAGTACTATCCTGAACTTATTTCACAAATTCTGAAAACATCTTTTTCACCTGTAATGATAAAAGGGTTGCGTTGTTTTTTATTTGTAATATTAATTGACCAATTTATTATTTTGTATACTATATTATGTTGCTCTTGTTGCACACAATGGTGCCTGAGTGTACTAATAAATTTGTAGATTGATTTACCAATGCAAACTGGCCACTATAATATTTAACATTCAATCAATGACATATTAATATACTTATCTTATTAATACAAGTAATGTGTTTACCTGTTGCAATAATTTGAATAAGAAAAAATCAGACTTCAAGAAGATATATCATGTATATGACCAAGGATTTCTTACTATTTTTGTCGAGCCTGAGTTGTTGCAAAGGGGAGACATAGCAATCCTACTTTCAGTCAGCCTCATGGTCATCAACATTTAAGTTCAGTCTGTGGTTAAACAATATTTAGACATCAATAACTTTGTCAAATTTTTTGGAATTTTATACCATACAGTTAACTATAAATCTCTCTCAGTTGAGTAGTGAAACAATTTAGTATAGAAAATAAACTATTGTAGAGATCATTATAAGATAGAAATCTTATTACTAGAATAAATTAGAAAAAAGATTCATTGTTGTTTTCTTAACATGCATTGCACAATATTTTCTGGACAAAGTAGAAACACACATCTTCAGTTTTTCAGCAGTGGACAAGTTTCCTCACCCTATAAAATCAATCTTTATCTCTCAAAATTAAGACAGTTACTGTGATTTAATTTAACAGTGATATCATAAGATCTGATGTCAACATATTTTTCCTAAATTAAAAACATCAACACTAAATTGATATGTTAACAATGTTTTTCTGTTACCTCTTTATAATTTTTTTTTCCAGGAACATGGGTGACCTTTGGAGGTCAGATAACAGATGATGTAAGTACTGATATTGAGTGATACGTCTATTTCCATGTTAGAACAAAAAGGAATCAAAGTTGAAACATTTTAATAACTCAGAATTCAAAGTGAAAGAACTGACACTGAAGTTAAATAATAAACTGCATACTGTAATAAAGAGGTGAGAAGTGATAAGGCTGACAATAGGTTCTCAGTAACCATATATCTGTTTTATGATTTCAGAACAAATTTTTATTACAGAATTTCAAATAATTCAGGACTATTGATATATGTGAGAAAAGGTTATGGTTCATTTTACAATTTCTGTTTTAGAGTTAGTGCCCTTGCTTCACTGAAACATTGTGATTGGGGTTACAATGAATATAAGTGTGACTCAAAATCTCCCCACCTTTTTGTTTATTATTATTTTATAAAGTGTCTAGTCCAATATGTTATATTACCTTGCCAAATTCAAAGAAACCAATTTTATTTAGTATTACCTAAAGTAAGTTTTATAATTCAGATGGCTGAAGAGATTTTGACCTTGGCATATGAAAGTGGAATTAATTTCTTTGACACAGCTGAGGTGTATGCAGCTGGAAAGTAAGTAGAACCACAGTTACAGAGAAAAAATTGACACACACAAAGTGAACAATAATGCCAAACAATATTAGTTGGTGGTAAGTTGTCAATATTTCACTAAATTTTGTCTATAGTATAATATTGTATGTGATCAATATAAAGCCATTGTTTTCAGTATTCATGATACATGTATTGAACATTTTTTGTTTTACTGTTCTGGAGTAATGGTCGTTGGTAGATTTTAAAATGGCACTTAACGTTGTTTCCATGCAATTACTTATGCACTGTAAATGCTTTCAAATTTCTATATGTTGTTACTGATGACAAAACAGGGGTCCAGTTTGATATTGACTATTTTCACTTTTCCCATTCAGGACATATGATCATTTATAGATTTGAAAATAGGCACAGATTGAAGCAGGCCAAACAAGACTGAAAGCACTATACACTAGAATACATCAATTTCATTTGTATTATCTGCCCTCTTAAGTTCAACAATGGTTACACTATAATGCCAGGAAAAGTGTAATAATCCTCAACTTTAATAAATGTCATTTTCTTCTGTTATATACATTGTGGGAAAGAATAACCAAAGTTATGAAAGTGCAAGAAGAAAATATAATCAGTAGCCTTCTCATAAGATTTCAATTGTCCTAGATAAGCTTCATTCTAAATATTCTTATTTTACTATTTCAGGGCAGAAATCCTGTTGGGAAAAATACTGAAAAAGAAAACCTGGAGAAGGTCAAGCTACATCATATCAACAAAACTATACTGGGGTGGAAAGTAAGTTAAAGTCATATGAAACGAGTTTCTTGTAATTTTAATGTTATCGAAATTATTGAACCAATGAATGCATATATACTAAACTAAGTCATGTATGCACAATTTTTATATTTATTAAGAATCTTATAACGTATTATAGACAAATAATATTTCATTCACTAAGTGTTGATCGCAAGCTTTCGTTGTGTTGCTGAAGTTTACAATCAACACAGAGCATGTGGAAAACTTGACAAATAAGTGAATAGATAGAGCCATGACATTTTTTTCATGCTTTCCCATTTGTTAATTAAATTTTCCTTAAAAGTTGTTAAATGATTTGTTGTATTAAATTTGTTCTTTTAGAATCAGTTATTACTATTTACCTTCAAGTGCAGGTTTGTTTACATTCTTTCATCATGGTTTTCCCCTCGCACTTGCGCTTTGGGGTGGTCAAAGTTCTAACGAGAGGTCTTGTAGTTAAGGTCACTGCATACGGGAAAATATCAACAAATTAGTGTACGGGACGACAATAATTCAATAGCAGTACATTTTTGAATATTTTGATAACATAAAGGATTTTCTTTTACAAGAAAGTTTTCGTACACTTGTTTTATAGAAAAACTTAGACATTCGAGTATAAAAAAAACATATTCAACATTTTTTTTAAATTTGAAGTTCCATATGACTTTAAAAGTATAATGGTGTGGAAAGTAAGTTAAAACTATACTGAGGTGGAAAGTAATTCAAGATAAATATTAGCTGAAAATGAAACAATATCCAAATAGATAGATTTAAAACTAATAACAAACTCACTTTAAACTCTTCACTATACAGAGATCTTAAAGGCATACAATACAGTAGCAAGGACAGATAATAATTCTTCCAAATTTTACTGGTTTTCTAAATGTTGCTAATGACAATTATCCCAAATTTGCGGAAAAACCACTTACATTATCAAATCCTTTACATGAAATTGAAACTATTTGCAAAGGAAAACAAACCTGTTGTATATTTAAGCACACGAAATATACTTGGGGACATAAGATTCGAGGCAAATAAAGACTGTTTACTTTCCTATCTTCAATGAATTTGTGTAGTGGTTTAGTGTACAGCGGAAATAGTTGCACGACTATGTTGCATAAAGAATACACTGTGAAGGTATATTTTGTTTTTGCATATTTCGATAGTGCATATCTAAATTGTCCTAGAGTCAAAATTTTAATGAAAAATCAGTGAGAAATCTTTTCTGTATTGTAGACCATGAAAAGTTAGTCATATTATTTACATAGTCAAGTTAAAAAGTACCATTGATGATGAGTACTGTGGATTAATTTATTCTTGTGGGCACCAATTTTTGTGGATTGAGGAAACATTTTATTTACTTGGATATTTGATTTTATGGTTTTGCTGAAGTCTGCATACATTCCCTAAAAAAACACTTAAATTTGTGGTTCACCTTCATCCACAAATTCAGGAAAATTGGTATCCCACGAAAAATAATGAAACCACAGTATATAACTTTGGTCTTAATGTTATACCAGAAGAAGTTGAAAATGGGAATAACTTTTTGTTTTTGCTAATTTCATTTCAGAGCAGAAACAGAAAAGGGTTTGTCACGAAAACATATTATTGAAGGTGAGATCACAGTTTATTGAATCGAGCACAAATTATTATGCTCGTTGAATTATTTTATATCAGTTCTCTTCTTTATATTAGCAAACTTCTGAAAGTTTTAGGATTTTTTATCATAAAAAAACTTATATATTGATCCCTGCACCAACAGCAATTGTTTTAGATTAATTACTACATGAAAATTTGTAATGAGGGGTCTGGTGGTCTAACTGATTAAATTTGAGTCTGTGGTTGATTGTTATAAAGGAGGAAGAACGGGGCTAACTGTGACTGTATAATTTACTATGATCTGATTTTAATAGAATTATAGTTTGGATTTATGAGGTTTATTTGACTTATTTATTAATAAAATGATGTTAAATTTAAATGTTTTCTGATCATTAATCCATCTGGTGAACAATTTTAGATTTGGTCTTTGTTAGCATGCTTACTTTCACCATTCTAGGGCTGGGACCTTTATCTGAAATACATAGATTACCAAAAATTATAGCAAACAACAGCATATTCAACTTTAAACCTATCAAAGTTTCACAAAATTACTTAATTAATTTTTTTCCTGTTGTGATGCAGGTAGTTGACATGAATATGGATTATAAGACTTTTACCATAATAATGATCTGTTGAATACAACAGACTTGACAGAGAAAACTTGAAATTATTTTGATGACACAAACTTGCATTCATTTTGCATTATATATAAGAATAAGAAGATGCGGTATGAATGCCAATGAGACAACTCTCCACCAGAGACCAAATGACATAGAAGTTAACAACTATAGGTCATCGTACGGCCTTCAACAATAAGCAAAACCAATTTCACATAGTCAGCAATAAAAGGCCACAAAATGACATATGTAAAACAATTCAAAAGAAAAAACTGTCGGCCTGATATATGTATGGAACAAAGAACGAAAAACAAATATGATATACAGCAACAAACAACAACCACTGAAATACAGGCTCCTGACTTGGAACAGGCACATACAGAATGTTGCCTCAAATGCATTTTTCAGTAATTTCACGCTTTGATTCATTGTTGTTAACTATGAGGTGTTAGTGTTGATACATGTACATGAAGTAATTCAATTTCTATCACTTTTTATATTTTAGGTTTAAAATCTTCATTAGTAAGACTTCAGTTAGATTATGTAGATATAGTATTTGCTAACAGACCAGACTCACACACTCCAATGGAAGGTATGTGTAGGGTGTTCTAATTGGCAGTTTTTAGCTCACCTGACCCATAGGGTCAAAAGAGCTATATTCAACACTTGGCTTGCTTCTTTCATAGATATAATGGGACACTTGGATGATTTATACTGCATACACAAATTCTGTAACCCCCTATAATTTTCAAAATAAAAAACTAAACAGAAGTTTTAGTGTTGATAACATATGATTTTAAAAGAAAATTCGTAGGACAGGTTTTTAAGAAAAAGCAATTTAAAATAAAATAATTAAATAGTTTTATTGTGCCCACTTCCCCTTTTTCATCTGTATGTCAGTACATCCAAAAATTGGTTTCCATGGTCTAACTTTAATTTGCCTTACCACCTGTTATGTTCCTTTATAAATGAAAAAAATTGCTGAGTTTGTCGTTTCCACTCTAACTTTACTTTTGTTTGAATTTGGCAGGCTTCACTTTCACCGTTCTCAAGTTATGTCCTTTATAAATGGGAAAAATTCTGAATTAGCAATTTTGTAGCTAATACGAGGGAGATAATTTACTCTATCCCATGGCTCAGAGGGAAACAATGTTTTGAATGTTACCCTCTCGTGCAAACCAATAAAAAAACTATAATTTAAAGGACAATGAATTGAATTTACATCGATAAATCTAAGTTTTTGCCTCAGAACTTTTCATGGACACTCAAAATGAAAAAAAAACACATCTTGCTTCACTTTTTTTGTTTTTCTAATAACTGTTCTATACATTAAAATGTTCATAAAATAAATAAGATAAAATCCAAGAACGAAGAATCAACACAACAGCATTCATTTCTTTCAAAAGTTGACGCGAATATTTTTTCTCTCCAAAATGTCACATGAACCTACAAAGTTCAACTTTTACCAGGCTGAACCAGGGCTTCCAAAAATTGTTTGAGCCAGCCGGACATTTCATATCTTATCTCGATTTTAAATCCCTTTAGACTTAGTAAATTAGGCAATTATGATAATCAGTTAACCAATGATTGACATTAAAATGATATTAAACTTTACTTTGGTATAAATTTGATGTTCTGACGTAAAGTGTTAAATTGAAAGTGCAGCATTCGAAGTGTTCAACATCAGCGTACTAATTCTGCCTAATTCCGCTTTAGACTCTTTATTTGTGCAAAATAACATTGTCAAAACTTTACTTTCGTTTTTAAAATCACATTTTCCTAATGCCGGATGTTGACTTGACAATGGTAAATCATGGATCAGAGACAGATACGTAATATCCGTGTATGTTTACGATTGAGTTAATAGCCTTTTCAAGTAATTTCTTCATGAAAATACTCGAAATGAACTTAAGATAAAGGTATCAATGATATTTTTAGCATTATTGAAGAATTAAGATGCATAATTAAATTTCCCACCAGTGCACAATAGACAATAGACACATGCACACACATGTACTAGTTCAAACAACGTGGTTCTGACGATTATTCGTTTAAAACCTTTTCAAATTTTTCATCAAATCATATTTATTAACGCATTTCTTATAATTTCAATCTTTTAGACTAAATTAATTAGATGCAACCCGCTGAAATGTAAGAAAATAACTTTGAATACCCTTAGGTACCCCAGTATTTAACACGATGTACAGTGTTTTTAAATATAAAAATGAATATCATACAAATTCGAATTCATTTATAAATATTCTTATTTGAAGAATTATTTTAAAATCTAAGGATATTTTTTTAAAACTGAATGCTCATTTACAATAATATCTACAAAGCGTAATTAAATAGGATGTTGTTCCATACTCGCTTACATGTTTGACCTCGTTTATCTGATCACCTTTATGTCCATTGTTATGCATCATCAATTCTATTTATTAAGACAAGCTAAGGTCTCTCATCAAAGGTAATGACCTGTAATCAGTGAATGATTTATGGTTTCAATATTACTTATTGAAGGGATAATTGTTTGACAGCTTGTTGTTTTTAGGCAGTTAAGCTGCCTTATGCGAGCACCCTAGATTTGTGTTCTACCCAATAAATGCTGAAATACGTGCCATTGTTATTATCTAGCTGGCTATTATGTTATTTATAACTAATTGGACATTTTTTTAATACTTTTATTTCTGGAATACAAAAAATATGACCAGAAAAACCTTAAATGATCGTCGAACTACCCAAAACTTTTGAAGTTGCACATAGGAAGTAGTGCTCAGTAGAAATCCGTACGTAGTTAATTATCCCCTGTGCTTTTAGCTACGATGTCAAAGAACAATTGTATGAAATATTTCATCGCCGAAAATCGGTAATTACAAGTCGTTTATATTTCCCAAATGGCAAAATGCGCAGGAATATTGTTCATGTACAACAAATCTCTATGATAGAGGAAATAAAGTTATATAAGTGGGTGGTAATTTCTAACTTATCTTGCCAAATAATGTTGTTGTTATTTTGTGAATGAAACGAGGTCATGAAAACAGATGCGGAAATCGACGTTAATGGGATGTTTTAAGTAATGTGGACAACTCGTCCCAGAGATAAGTCGGACCGAATCCACTCAAACCGTCTAAGAAGACAACTTTGGCCGTTTGTCAGATTTACTTAGGGTTTCATAAAATTTTAGACTAACATGTCTAGCGGAGCCATTTATCTTTTGTTTGTGCATTGGGGTCTATTTAGGGGTATTTGGAGGGGCCTGAAGAAGGGAGGGGTTTACTATAGAACCCTATGGGATTTTATTTTTTTTAATTTTCAAATGACTATTTCTCAAAAACAGTAGGTAATAGACACATGCAGTCTTCAGTAATGAGAACAGGACAATACAAAAAATCAACCAAAATATAGGGTGAGTCCCTTGGGGTCATCCCAACCCCCTTCAATTTGAAAATGTACTCTTATTTTGTAAACCGTCGCGATCCCCACCCCTAAACAATATATATACTTGAATGGGACAATAAAAGAAATCAAATGAAAATAATTTGGGGGAGTCCCCAGTGTCGTCCCACCCCCTCCTGTTTGAGAACTTGGAAATGGTCAAGATCCCCACCCCTAAACCATATATATTCATGTATGGGACAATTAAACAAATCAAAAATGAAATATAGAGTGAGTCCCTGGGGTCACCCACCCCCTCCTGTTTGAGAACTTGTAAACGGTCGAGATCCCCACCCCTAAACCATATATATTCATGTATGGGACAATATAACAAATAAAATGAAAATATATGGGGAGTCCCTGGGGTCACCCCAACCCCTCCTGTTTGAGAACTTGGTAATGGTTGAGATCCCTACCCCTAAACCATATACATTTATGTATGGGACAATAAAACAAATCAAATGGAATATAGGGGAGTCCCTGGGGACACCCCCGCCCCTCCTGTTTGAGAACTTGTAAACAGTCAAGATCCCCACCCCTAAACTATATATTTTCATGCATGGGACAATATAACAAATCAAATGAAATATATGGGGAGTTCATCGGGTCACCCCACCCCCTCCTGTTTGAGAACTTGGAAATGGTCAAGATCCCCACCCCTAAACCATATGTATTCATGTATGGGACAATATAACAAATCAAATGAAATATAGGGGGAGTCCCTGGGGTCACCCCACCCCCTCCTATTTGAGAACTTGGAAATGGTCGAGATCCCCACCCCTAAACCATATGTATTCATATATGGGACAATATAACAAATCAAATGAAATATAGGGGGAGTCCCTTGGGTCACCCCATCCCCTCCTGTTTGAGAACTTGTAAACAGTCGAGATACCCACACCTAAACCATATTTATTCCTGTTCATCATTTCAAAAAGATTTGAATGACATACAGGGTCAATCTCCTTGGTGTCACATATGCATATCACTTTACTAGACCAAACCAATATGAACTGGACTTTGCCCAATGTCAGGAGACCATGGGAATGACGAATTATGGGGGCTTTGTTTGGGAGACTTCGTAACGGCATCTTGTTACAATTATTTCTTGTTTATTATAAAAAAAAATTGATCCAAAAAATGAGTCTAGATTATTGAATTTACTTTGCTTATTAAATTATTTCTGGGCCTATAATAATTTTCATTTATGGCTCACTTTAAAGAAAACATATAAATCTTTCAAGCAGTGTAAAGCCCGAGAATGTTTGACCAACTGTTTTATAATCACCTGTCATTTTATTCCAAACTTGGTATGGAGTAACATCATGCACTTGGGGGTGAAGATGGGGGTCATTTACATTGATATATGAGTTGCTTTTGAAAACCTTGATGAAATATTAATTAATTTGCCTTAATAATCAATTCATTTAATGAACATAAATGTACAATATACGAATGTTTAATGTTTGTTCTTTCAAATCTTAAAAAAAAATTGAAACAACATTGCCACAGTTTTCATCATTACGTTTGCCTTGGTTTTTGGTTAACTGTCTACAGCGCTTACAGTGCTTTGATTTAAATAAAAGAACAAATGTTTTTTTTCTACTTTTTATTGATGTACCAAGGCCTGCATTTATGTACCCAGAGGATTAGACTAACTGAGACACTTCAAAGTATGAAATATGCTGCATCTGTTTAATTAAACCCAAATATGACCAAATATCTTTGTGAAATAGATTGCCACAATTATAAATTATAATGCCCAAACGGACATTTTTACTGATCGATAGTTTGTAAAAAAAAGTGAAATGACCGTTTTATGAAAATGCCTTGAATAACAAAAAGTGGCAAACCTATGATATTTGACCGTCTGAGGCTGAGAGCAGCCGGACTTTTTATTTAAATTTCGGTCAAGTCCGGAATATATGACCGTTTTGGAAGCCATGGGCTGAACAGGTGCAGATTTATTTGTAATATATCTATGTGCATCCTATGCATTTGTATTTCTTTCTGAAGAATATTCAACTTGCTTTATCTTCATGGGTGTAAAAGTTACTTATATAATTTTTTTTCCATATTCATATGCAGTTTCACAGACTCTTGTCGCTTGCAAAATTTCAAAACTATACTGATATTATCTAAATGAACTTACTTTTTGTTGTAAAAAATGTTCCACGAGCAAAATTATCCATGGTTTAAGCCAGGTAGTTCTTTGAATTTCAACGTAATGGTAATTCTATGCTCCTGCTGAAATGCCCATATTGTTGAGAGATGTTATTTATGCATGCATGTATAAAATGGAAATGCATCAAATGATATTTTTTTAATTTATTTTATTATTATTTTCAGTGTTCTCCCCAGGATTTTTTGATAGCGCTGTGGTAAGCGCATGATTTTCGACTATTCTCAGTAACTTTGTCGCGGCGCGCAGTTCGTTTGTAATGGGTTTATTATGATGTTTTAATACAATATGCTGCTTATGTTTGCTCTTGTAATGTTGTCTTGATGGTAGTTACCCATTTGTTTGTAAATGTTATTGTTTGAAAATAGATGAAGAATCATTTTTTTATCTCCATTGTAAATTTAGATAATCAAGCAAAAATAAGTACAGAAATAAATTCCATGAAGGGTCAACACCACACTGGTGATGTGAAAATTTCTTAACAGGTGATATAGTATGTAGGACCCACATTGACAATTATGTCATTGTCATTTTCTGTGTTGGGTTTTGTAACCCACTGGAGCAGTGTACTATTAACCTAATGATGTTTGACAGGAGTTGACATTTTAGAACATTATGAATATGATTTCTCATTTTTCTGATCACCATTTTATTACATTCGTATGGCTTCTCCCAAGCTGGACATCACAGGCACTTGTTTCTATCTATGGGAAGGTCGACAATCCATATGTAATTACATATGGATAGTTGACCTTCCCATGGATAGAAACAAGTGCCTGTGCTGGACATTGAGGAAAGTGAATTTCTCAAGTCTACATCATGTACATGTAATATCGATTTGGGGGTTTGCTTTTCTAATCATATCCCCCCAATTGTTTTCAAATGGTAAAATTCATTACTGTAGTATTGCTGATTAATCATTTATTAGTTCGATTAGGTGATAATTAATACTTCAAAGACTTGCACATTGAAGCCAATTTAATCGTTGTTTAAATTAATTGTTTAATCAAAGTTCGTAAAACAATTTTGTGAGTATTGTCGGTAAAGGGGTCAATTTATTTCATCTTGTTCATGCTTATTCCATTCATATTTGCTTCTTTATATTCTTTTTAATTAAAAAAATTGATGATAATGTTGATTTCTTTGTTTATTTTGATCTTGCAAAGACGCCATTTTGTAAAATTTATTAAACTGGTCCCGCAATGTTACTTTATACTATGCAAATACATTCAGAAATAGTAAACCAGACGATCATGTGATCGAAGTAAAAGATAAGTGGAAAATTTTTAAAAAAAATAAATAAATCGAAAAAAAAATATAGCGACATGATTGATTTGGATAGCACTGTGCTCAGTTCAATAGAACAGCGGAAAATTGCGATTGCGCTGAATACCGCAGCGCTAAAACGGCCTGGGGAGAACACTGTATTTTTGTTGTGAGTGAAATTAATTATTATTAATCTAACTGCTGTATTTTTCTTTTAGAAATTGTTCGGGCTTTCACATATGTGATAAACCAAGGTTGGGCTATGTACTGGGGTACATCACGTTGGTCCCCAACAGAGATAATGGAGGCCTATTCTGTAGCTCGTCAATTTAACCAGATCCCTCCAATAGCTGAGCAAGCTGAATATCACTTGCTACAAAGAGAGAAGGTAGAACTACAAATGCCAGAACTCTATCAGAAAATAGGTATGGGTTGTCACCTCGCATTGTAAGGAAATCACATCTTCGTCTAGACTATGCAGATTTTGAGTTTGACGTATTGCATAAGACACGTTTCTATTGTTGAAAATTGTATGTTGTCTTCTCTCCAACATCACCATTTTATATTTTACACACAAATTTTCAAGCATTAAAACTTTTTTGCTAATATCTCATTTATCATCAAGCAAATTTAACAGTAGATGATCTATTTCTGTACTCAGAAATGACATAATCCACAACAAATTTTTAGTGAAAACTTGATTCTAAAAGGTGACCAATTTTGGGAAACAAAGGAAACGCGTATTTGTCATATAAGATAATTTTTTTGACTGATCAACTCAAACTTTTCACATTAAAAATATGTAAATCATCAAACTAAAAAAACTAACTTAGTTGCTTTGGTTTGAGCAACTTTCCAACATTATGTAGAAAGTAAAATAACAAAAATACTGAACTCCAAGTTAGAAGTTAGTAACTATAGATCACTGTATGCCCTTCAACAATGAGCAAAACCCATACTGCATAGCATTAGCTATAAAAGGCCCTAAAATGACAAATGTTGAACAACTCCAAAAACAAAAACTAACAGCCTGATTTATGTACAAAACAATTAAATAAAAACAAATATGATATACAGCCAATGTTAATTTGTTTCCCTAGGTGTTGGTACCATAACCTGGTCACCACTGGCAGGTGGTATACTGACAGGGAAATATGATGATGGTGTACCGATTTATTCCAGAGCAGCTTTGAAGGTAAGATTCTCTAAAACTGACTTTTATATACAGGCATATTTTAATTTATATATTTTGTTTCTGATTTAAAAATAAACTGGTTCAAGCTTGGAAAAAAAGATTTGTCCATTTTTTCTGTATGTCAATCTTTCATACAATAATTGAAATTTGCTTTAACCAATTCTTATGAAATTTTAACACAACATTAGGATTGATGGAAGGAAACTCTCTTGTTTTTGATAATGTTTGATTTGGTCTGTTGTTTCAGAGATACAGGACTTTGACCATCAGATTTAGGGCAATTTTTCACATATCAAAAACTAATTAGCGTACAATTAGATTGATTTACTCAAAACTTTATGCTGTTATTTAGATTGATTAAAAGAAACTCCCTTTAGATTTTAATTTTTTTTCTGGTGTTTTATTTCAAAGTCAGAAGACTTTGACTTTTAGATTTGAGATAATTTTTCACATTTTGTACACTTAATTGAGTGAGTCTAAGAGACCACAACATGAACAAAAAAAAAAGAAATCATCCCAAGGCCATCAATTGGTCTTCAACACAGCTAGAAAATCCCTCACTGGGGATGGGCTTCAGCTGGCCCCTAAACAATAATGTTTCCTAGTTCAGAGAAATGGACGCTACACTAAACTCCGAAACATAAAAATGAACATAATAAAAAAAACACACAAGACTAAAAAAGGCTATAGGTTCCTGACTTGGGACAGGCACAAAATCGGATGGGGTTAAACATGTTATGTGAGATCTCAACCCTCCCTATACCTCTAGCAAAAAAGTGGAATAAACAAACAAACAGCATTGTGCACAGTAAAACTCAGTTGTTTTTACTTGATACTTTACACAATTGTTGGAATTTGTAAAAGTAAGGTACTTTTTGATTTTAAGAATTTTCTGATTTTATATTCCAGAGTTGTGGGACTTTAACCATTAAAATTCAATAACGGGTACTCAGGAAAGTTTGGTTGTGAGGAATACTTTAAACTACTTTCTATTTTCTTAAATAATTCTTTCTATGTTAAGCCCTCTCTAGCAGATTTAGTGGCGATTTATTTATGTGATTTTCTAACTTTGTTTATGTTTTTGTATAAAAACTCCGACCCACATTTTATATATTCTTGACTCTTTATATTCATGTTATTGGACTACTTGCCAAAAATAAATAGCTCATGAAATTTATTTGATTTACATTATTTAAAAAAAAAAGCAAAATATTTAAATAGTGGAACACAATACCTGCACAAAAAGGAATTAAATCTTGCTGAACTTGAATTGTTGGGGGAGGGGGAATTTAATTTGTAAGTAGTTTTGGCATGAAGTTGGCTTAGACAGTTAACTTTCAGATATCATCATCTGACCCTGTTTTTCATCTAATATGGACAACATTATGTAAAATTTATTCTCATCATTTAATGGGATATTACTTTGAAGAATGAAATAAAATAGGCCACTCAAAAGAAAGTATGCTTGCATCATCTCTAGAATGCCTAGTTTTAAAATTATAATTGATGGTTATTCTTTTAATCATTATAAGTAAAAGGTTAATGATAAATATTATACATAAATAAAAGGTGTGTCTCAACCACTCATGATAGTCTGTAGTTTGTGGACTTGTAAGGCTTGCTGACATCTACAAGCAATTACAATTGTGAAACCACAATTAAAAAATCAGTGAAACCATTAAAAGCCAAGATAATATAGTATTCTCTGTTAAATTACTAAACTCAAATGTATGATCATGAAATAATTTTATTAATTTTCTATGAATAGGGTTATTCATGGTTTAAAGACAAAATTTTGGGTGAGGAGGGAAGAAGACAACAGGCCAAGTTAAGGGAGGCAGCCATTATAGCAGACAGATTAGGATGTTCTATGTCACAGTTAGCATTAGGTATGTATTTAAAGGCAGAAGGTTAACAAGCCTACCTGTAGCTTTAGAGTGGCAGTCATAATAGCAGACAAATAGGATGTTCTATATCTCAGTTATCTTTAGGTAGGTATGCAAAATCTTTAAGTAGGAACTCTGAAGCTGAAGTTAACAACCCTAGCCTTAGAGGGGCATTTATGAGGGTCTGGATGGGGTTTACATTATAGATAATACATATTTTAAGGTTTTTCTTGTGTGTGTATATACTCGTCATAGATACCTGGATTGAAATTTTGTATGCCAGACACGGGTTTTATCTACTAAAGACTCATCAGTGAAGCTCGAATCAAAATAAGTGAAAAAGGTCAAATAAAGTACAAAGTTGAAGAGCATTGAGGACCCACAATTCCTAAAAGTTTTGCCAAATACAGCTAAGGTAATCTATTCCGGAGGTAGAACATCCCCTAGGGGTGTCAGGATTGATTAAATGAAAGACCAACTGTAGGAAATTTGGGATTGTCTGGGTTGATTCTTCAAAAGAATTACCTAGTTCTGAAAGAATATAACTCTGGATAGGTATATAAAGAATAGAGAATAATGGACCATTATTACTGAGTAATGGACCAAACAAATAAAGTATAGAGAAAAATAGGCATAAAGAATAGAGAATAATGGGGGGAAAATGTAAACAAGAGAGAATAATGGGCAAAAAATATTAATGTCTTTAATTGATAATTGTTAACTTAGTTAGTCATAAAAATGTGTACACTTTAAGCATGAATGGATGTTTTAAGACCTTATAATATTTTGACGATTTTAGCCCATCAGCAGTATATCCACTACTAATGAGGACAATGTTTTAATGCATCATATGGATGACCTAAAAATAGATCTGAAATTGCATACAATATAATCAGTGAATTATTCTTCATCTGATTAATGTTGGTTGGAATGCTGAAATGGCTGATTATGTTACCAATGTAATCATTATCGACATTGTACACAGGGGTTGAAATTATTTAAGATCGATTCCCCTTGTTGTTTCTCAAAGGAAATGCAAATAGGACTTGCTTTTTTGAATGAATAATTAAAAACCAAATGTGAAAAGAACAATTGAAGGTCTCTCCACCACACGTGCTAATAATTAAGGATTAGAAGACTTTTTACACAGATGTGAAAAAAAATTAATTAACAAAAGTAGCCATTGTCCAAAAAAACTATGTCAAGAGATAAATTGTAGTTCTTTTTTTTCATAGGGGGATGAGCTGCAACCTTCAGTGACATCTGAAAGATTACATTACACTGATTCGAAAAATATACGATTTCTATATATTTTTGCTTCAAATAAGGGAGATAATTTGCTACTTTCAGTTTACAAAATATCACTTATCTGTATTGTAGCTTGGGTATTAAAAAATGAAAATGTACAGTGTGTATTGCTAGGAGCTTCTACAGTAGATCAACTTTATCTTAACATTCAGGCTTTACAGGTAATTATTTCATACTCATTTTTTTAATCCACAAAGTGGGAAAAAAGATACATAGTGAGAAAGTTATATCTGTTGATAATTGAATAATCTGCTTTCATGGTCTTTTTTACAGCACATTTACAACACACTCTCATGAATTCGTGGGTATAGGTAAACACAAATTTAAATGCTCAACAAAGTACACATAATTTATGGGCTTGTATGCAGACTTTGGCAAAACCACGAAATCAAATATCCATGAATCTTCCAGTTTTCCTCAATCAACGAAAGTTGATAGTCACGATAATAAATGAATCCACAGTACATATACTTCAAACATATAAGATACTGAAAGCATTTTGTTTAAACTGAGCAATCTCTTAACCACTTAAACTTCTCACTGTGATTAACAAGATCATTTATTTTTTTATATTGTTTATAAATATTTGATCAATGTTTATAGATGCAGGAAAATTTTAGTAAATAATGTCTTAAAAAAAATATTTCACTTCAAATCTCAAAAGGGTTTATTACGGAACATTGCTTCTTAATGGAAACAGGTATACAGTTATGAAAAAAAAGAAGATGTGGTATGTTTGCAATGAGACAACTCTCCACCAGAGACCTAATGACATAGAAGTTAGCAACTATAGGTCTCCATATGGCCTTCAAAAGTGAGCAATCCATACTGCATAAAAGTCATAAAAGGCCCAAAAATAACAAATGTAAAACAACTCAAATGAGAATAACTAACGGCCTGATTTATGTACAAAACAATAAACGAAAAAATAAATATGATATACAGCAACAAACAACCACCACTAAATTACAGGCTCCTGACAGTCACATGGAGAATGTGGCACCCAACCCTCCCTCGAACCTAGGGCAGTGGTGTAACAACAAAACATAAGAACAAACTAGAAAAATCAGTTCAAAAGGACTTAACTCATCAGAACAATACAATGCACAAAAACAACTAACAAAAACTCTAAAGACACAAAGTCCAGATCTGAGAGTACTCACAGTTACTGAAAGCTAGTTCAAAGCCAATATATTTGAATGATTATTGATATCCTTTTCTTTCTTTTTTGTTCTTTTAGTATGTACCCAAATTGTCAGGAAGTATTATGCAAGAGTTAGACAAGATTTTAGGGAACTCACCAAAACTGAAGAAAGAAAGTAATATGAGGTATAATAAAACAGAAGTATCATCTTATATGGATGTGTTTGCTATTGTCAATTTGTGATTAGCTATACAAGATCTACCAAAAAGGCCTTTATGACCAAATCCATTGGATAACTCGGTATAATAGTTATTTCCCTTAAAAGACAATATTTGCCTAATCAAAAGATTTTGCCAATTATGTAATTTTTTACAGATGAGTGATTCAGGTTAATAGGAGCCTCTTGTTTATGTATAGAAAGTATATTTTCTACAATGCAGTAAAAAGCATGAACAAACAGACTTTTAGAAAAGTGACAAATCTGTCTATCCACCTTGCCCTTTTTTGTTCAACTGTTAAAATAGATTTTGACATGTCAGTGTATGTATGATTTAGTTATAGCATTGGATTGATGAATATCTCTGTTTGCTTCTTTTGTTAGTAACTTATTGCTTTGCTTGTTTGGCATTTTTTCCCTCTTTTTTTTCTAAGTTCTATTATTCAGGCATTTTTGTATGACAATAATTTTTGTAATTTTTTAAATCATTAAACTTAGTGTGTAGTGTTTAATACTATATTTTTATTGTTAATAACTTATGTTAGAAATCAATATACAATGATTTTGAGGGAAGCTGATTTTTTTTTATTTGTCATGCTGAAAAGAAATATTATACTCTTTGTAGAAACTGGTTACAAAGATCAACAAGCAAGCCTTAGAATTAACTTTCCCATATAAATAGGTATATCTTTAGGAATGAAATTTAGCCTCCAAATTGGTTTTGTGCATCTTCCTTTTAAGTTTTATTTAGTATTTTGCATGTGATATTTAAGTTTATATATACTTTCCTTGTCCTATTCATTTTGACTTATTATAACTTCATTTTAAAGCATGTATTTTATTTGCCCCAGGTGTAAGGGTTACAGCAATATTTTAGTAAGGCACACAACTTTATAAGTTTGATAAGCAATATTTTAGCTGTCAAATCTGTTAAGCTTGGTAGGAAACCGTTTAACAGGTTTGTAATAAGAACTGCTCTTGCAGAAATGTTATAAATTTTTAAACATAATACTTGAACCAAACCATTTCACTGGTATCAACAGCCAGGAAATATATATGATTTTGTAACAGACGACACATACATGTAATCGATCTATTACAGAAGTATGACCTTGACAACGAGAAATGATCTTTTGTCACAAATTGTGCTTAAATTCTCACTTGCCAAATCATTCAATATAGACTGAGAGCTTTGATTATGTTATTCAAATGGTGCAAAATTCAAAAATGAATTAATTTTGCAGAATAAACCTGTATTTATGTGTCTTGAAACATTAAACTGATTAAAAAGGAAGGGTAAAATAATTTAAGCCTTTAAAAATGATGCTTTTTCTAATGATAAATTAACAGGCTGATAAAGTGCAAAAAGGTCACTTGTGATGTCATAAACATGTCAAAATTGACACATTTGACCTAAAATGGTCATTTTATATATAGTTGTGGAACAAAGAAGATGTTAGCCAAGACTTTACCCAAAAAAGTATCTTACTCCCATTTACAGCTTTGTAAAATCTATCTTGTAGCCAAAAATCTTTTTGGGTTAATCCATATCTAAATATTATCGACAAGATTATAAATTTAGGCAGTTTTCAATTTTAAACCAAAAAAATTGCCTCATCATCAAAAGTTTTAAAATACCATTAAAAAATTTTTTTTTGAAATAACTTTTATCATTTGTAATAGTCCTGGTCAACTTTCATTTCAAATTCACCATATTTAAAAGTGCCATTAAAAGGTCATTATTATCGGATTGAAGACGTAGTTTTATATTTGTCTTCTTACTCTAACAGTTTTGTGTGTAATTGTTTGACAGAAATACATTTGGCACATCTGTCAACTATTATGAAGGAAAATGAAAATTTCTTCCTATTGACTTTGGAAATGTGTTCCCAAAAACTTCTTCACATGACATAATGTTATTCCAAATACTTCTTCCTTTTGACCTTGACAATGTGATCCCAAAACCTTGTTCCTATTGACCTTGACAATATAAACCATATTTGTGAGTGCTCTACATGCCTTGGTCTGGGAAAGGCACATTAAGAATGTGACAGGGTAAACATATTTGTGAGTGTCTACACACCATGACCTAGAAATTTAAGAATTGAATAGCTGTAAAAAAGACTTTATTCTTTATGTTTGTTTCATCTAAATTTTATGTAAGTTTTATTCAAAATTATTAGATTTCTTTATGAATTTTAGGCCACAAAGGAGGTGATGGTATGACATTGATTGCATAATTTTAAACATAGAAGAATCTATAACACTTGTTCAAAGATTTCTTTTGCACTTGTAGATGGATATAGTAATAGAGTAGAGGAATGAGTCCAGAAACTCTTGTTTGCATTTTGAGTGTTTATTTTATTTTCTGCCCTGACTTTTGTCAGAAGAAGTGCATGTCGGCTTTCATACCTTACCTGTCTATTTATTTGTAGGTATTTTCCATTTAGTTGAACAAAGTTTTGGTTAAAACAGGATAATGTTTAGAAAATATGCAGTCATCATAAAACAAATTCAAATTATAATCAAAATCTCAACTACAAAAAAATATATGTTAAAAGGATAATGTGACCTACTTTTCATTGTACAGTGATCATGGTTAATCTTTCAGTTAAATATTAATATCTGAAACATTTTGATATACAGTATCAATTTTTCCAGATATCCGATAAAGCCACCAAATATTTTTTCAATCATTTTGAAATCTTCCTCTGAAGAGCAGTATTGACATGTCTTTCAGAACTCCCTAATACTTCCCTCCTTTTCCATATTTTAATGTTGCCTGGCAGTATCCAGCTGTCACTAGGGACATATATGGGTCATTCTGTCAGCTTGCGGTTTAGTCTGGCATCGTCTGTGTCACTATCAACTCCTTCAATAACCCTCATCAGAATTCAACTTAAGTTACACAGATTCTTTTACAAGACATAAAGTTGTGCACCTGGTATTTTTATTATTATTCTTGTATATTTGTAGGTCCCTTAAGGTGATATAGCTCTTCACATGTTAAGGTTCTTACATCCTTGGCTTTCAAATATTTGGTTTAGAGCATTCCTGATGAAGGTAAATCCAGAAAAGCGCTTCAGACCCATTAAGTTTATAAAGTGTTATTTTTATTATGCCCCTGCCGTAGCCGTAGCCGTAAGTTTTGCCCTTGTCCGTCTGGACGTAGTCCCAAAGTTGGTTTCCGTTCTCTAAATTTAGTTTGCCTCGACCAAATGTTATGAAACTTATACACAATGCTTATTACCACAAAATACAGATCAAGTTTTAATTTAGGGGGCATCTCTTTAACCGTTCTAGAGTTATGCCCCTTTACAAATGGAAAAATTGCTGAATTTTTCGTTTCCATTCTCTAACTTTAGTTTGATACAACCAAATGTTATGAAACTTATACACAATGCTTATTACCATAAAATACAGATCAAGTTTGGTGGTGTCACTTTTACTGTTCTTGAGTTATGCCCCTTTACAAAAAGAAAAATTGCTAAATTTTCGTTTCCGTTCTCTAACTTAAATTTGCCTCAACCAAAGGTTATGAAACTTATACACAATGCTTATTACCACAAAATACAGATCAAGTGTGATTTTTGGTGGTGTCACTTTTACTGTTCTAGAGTTATGTCCCTTTACAAATTGAGAAATTGCTGAATTTTTCCTTTCTGTTCTCTAACTTAAGTTTATCTCAACCAAATGTTATGAAATTTTTACACAATACTTATTACTACAAAACGCAGATCAATAACAAATTTGGGTAGCGTCACTTTTACTGTTCTTCAGTTATGTTCCTTTATAATTTTATATGATATGCAAGTGGGCGCATCATCTGTGTCCCATGGACACATTCCCCATTTATTTTTTATATGATTTACATATCTGCAAGTTAAAAAAATTTTCCCTTGGTTTACACTTTATGGGTTACAACAAATTAAGAAATGAAAGAAAAAAATAAAAGGGATTGGTTTGAGCATTATATGGATTAAACAATTTTTTTCTGAAGGTTATTGCTACCACAAGTTCATTGTCTTGTACATTTGTTTATCTAAATTTGTTTTAATACTTGCAATAACTATCAACTATAGAAGTACAATATTGACAGGGATGAAAAATCATAACATAACCATCCTGGTTGAATTTGTAAAAACAAATAAAAAGAAGCTGCCTCAGTTTATCAAGTATTTTATAACAAGTTAGTGTGGTATCAAAGAATGCTTACTCTGCTTGTCAAGTATTTGATAACAGGTTGTTAGTGTGGTATCCAGGAATGCTGACTCTGCTTGTCAAGTATTTGATAACAGGTTGTTAGTGTGGTATCTAGGAATGCTGACTCTGCTTGTCAAGTATTTGATAACAGGTTGTTAGTGTGGTATCTAGGAATGCTTAATGCTTATCAAGTATTTGATAACAGGTTGTTAGTGTGGCATTTTCAATATTATATCATACATTTAACGTCACAGTACCCAGATAGCACCAAGTGCCCAAATACATGTAGCACCCATTTTGCAAAAAAAAGCAGCAGAAATCTTACAAGTTTTCTGAGATACTAAATAATTTGTAGTTTTATAATTTGTCATTATGCACATCTTTCAACATAGCTAAATATATTTAAATATACACAAAATGGTCACTTTATATATCAACAGAAAAAGCATCCAGAGAAAAATGAAAAATTTATGGTAACGTCACATGCAAGTCCATGAAAAGTCAACTTTTAAAAATGAGCAATTAAAATATGTCCAAGGCATCTATTTCTTACAAAATGAGTAGCTAACATGGACTAATGTCAAATTGTTCTAAAAATTTGGAGATAAAACAACAAAACATCAGTCATTGGATTTTTATACGACCGCAAAAAAAATTTGTGGTCGTATATTGGTATGACGTTGGCGTCGTCGTCGTCGTCGTCGTCCGGCGTCGTCATCCGAATACATATTGGTTTTCGCACTCTAACTTTAGTTTAAGTGAATGGATCTTTTTGAAATTTGACCATAAAGTTAAATACCACAAAAGGAAGGTTGGGATTGATTTTGGGGGTTATGGTACCAACAGTTAAGGAATTAGGGGCCAAAAAGGGGCCAAAAATGAGCATTTTCTAGTTTCCAGACAATAACTGTGGAACGGTGTATGGATCTCCCTGAAATTATACTACAAGTTTCCATACCACAAAGGGATGGTTAGGATTTGCTTTGGGGGGTTATGGCTCAAACCGTTTAGGAATTAGGGGCAAAAAAGGGGGAAAAACAAGGTTGTCCTGGTTAATGGACAAATACTTTAGTACAAAACATAATTTAAAGCAGTGTAAGGGAGATAAATCAAATACATCACTGAAATTATCTCCCTTACACTGCTTTTAAATTATGTATAAAGTAATGGTTAATGAACAATAAAGATAATCTAAAACAGTGTAAGGGAGGTAATCCAAATACAACGTTTTGGTTACTTCCCTTACACTGCTTTTAAATTATGTTTAAAGAAATGCATATTTATAAAGGAAGACCAGTAAAAATATCTGCAAATGTTTTCATCTATTTTTTTTACAAAAAATCCATATGAAAGATTTGACACTATATTTTTATTAATTCTATTATAAAATAGATTAAGTTAGCACTATGGTAAATTTAAATGGGTAATTATGGTTGCCAACTCCATTGGAAATTTGAATTGAGATTATGACCATATCTTGAGGGAAAGAATTTTTTTGGGGGAAAAAGGGGGGGGGGGATAAAAAGAAATTGTGGGGGGCCAATTTTTTCTCATTTCAGATTTCAGAAATTAAAAAGAATTATTCTTCAAATATTATTTTTCTTTCAAATTTCAAATATTGAAAAATTTCAAGAAGTAATCTTTAATTGCACAGTATGGCGCATTAGATTTGTAAAATCTTTGATCACATTTATTTATTTGTTATGCCGAATCTAACAGTGTATTTAGATTTTTAATTTTGGGTCCAGTTTTCAAATTGGTCTACATTAATGTCCAAAGGGTCCAAAATTAAACTTTGTTTGATTTTAGCAAAAATTGAATATATGAGGTTCTTTGATATGCTGAATCTAAACATGTATTTATTTTTTTGAATTTTGGCCCAGTTTTCAAGTTGGTCCAAATTGGGGTCCAAAATTAAACTTTGTTTGATTTCAACAAAAATTGAATATATGGGGTTCTTTGATATGCTGAATCTAACCATGTATTTAGATTTTTTATTTGTGGACCCCGTTATCTAATTGGTTCATATTGAGGTCAAAAGGGTCCAAAATTAAACTTTGTTTGATTTCATCTAAAATTGAATTATTGGGGTTCTTTGATATTCCAAATCTAACCGTGTATTTAGGTTTTTAATTTTGGGTCCTGTTTTTAAATTGGTCTACATTGAGGTCCAAAGGGTCCAAAATTAAACTTAGTTTGATTTTAACAAAAATTGAATTCTTGGGGTTCTTTGATTTGCTGAATCTAAACATGTGTTTAGATTTTTGATTATGGGCCCAGTTTTCAAGTTGGTCCAAGATAGGGTCTTGTATTTAAACTTTGTTTGATTTCAACAAAAATTGAATATATGGGGTTCTTTGATATGCTGAATCTAAACATGTATTTAGATTTTTGATTATGGGCCCAGTTTTCAAGTTGGTCCAAATTGGGGTCCAAAATTAAACTTTGTTTGATTTCAACAAAAATTGAATATATGAGGTTCTTTGATATGCTGAATCTAACCATGTATTTAGATTTTTTATTTGTAGGCCCCGCTATCAAATTGGTTCATATTGAGGTCAAAAGGGTCCAAAATTAAACTTTGTTTGATTTCATCAAAAATTGAATTATTGGGGTTCTTTGATATTCCAAATCTAACCGTGTATTTAGATTTTTAATTTTAAGTCCCGTTTTTTAAATTGGTCTTCATTAAGGTCCAAAGGGTCCAAAATTAAACTTAGTTTGATTTTAGCAAAAATTGAATTCTTGGGGTTCTTTGATATGCTGAATCTAAACATGTGTTTAGATTTTTGATTATGGGCCCAGTTTTCAAGTTTGTCCAAGTTGGGGTCCAAAATTAAACTTTGTTTGATTTTAACAAAAATTGAATATATGGGGTTCTTTGATATGCTGAATCTAACCATGTATTTTGATTTTGGACATTGGACCATAATAGGTAAATTAAAAAAATTCAAGTTCTTAGACCACATTCTTTCTGTGTCAGAAACCTATGCTGTGTCAAATATTTAATCACAATCCAAATTCAGAGCTGTATCAAGCTTGAATGTTGTGTCCATACTTGCCCCAACTGTTCAGGGTTCGACCTCTGCGGTCGTATCAAGCTGCGCCCCAGCGAAGCATTTTATTATGGATGTGAATTTAAGCATGGATGCAATTTTGGCACTCCTCATTACAGAATCTTAGGTTGTGAGAAGGTCGTTTCAAACCCATTTTTCTATGATTCAGTATGGATTCAAAATTAAAGGAGTAGGCCTGGTTACACCCCTTTTTGACCCCAAAATATAGCATTTCAAAAATTTGATAAAATGTAAACTTTAAGCTTTTCATTGGAAAGTAGAATACTTTTGTTACATAGATATGGGCTGTTTTTGACATTGCATTACACATGCATCAGGTACTAGCATCATTAATTCATGCAAAATCACTGAAATCTTTACAATGTTAGCATTTGTGCTAATTTTTAGACGTTTTTTGTCTAAAATGGAAGTGGCCGCACTTGTGTTCAGCCTTAATATTTAAATATATGTTGTATTTGATGATGATACATAACATATATGAAGGTTGAGCCTGAACACGAATGCGGCCACTTCAATTTTAGACAAAAACCATATCTAAAGTGATGTTTTGTGGCATACTTGATAGATTTTTCATTTTAAGCTTGAATTTAGGCATCTTTAATGACCAAATCAGTTCAAATCTTTTACAGAAATTAATTGAATTGTCTGAAGAAGACACTTGAGTGTTTAAAAAATGTCAAAAATCTTTCATCAAATGTACTTCAAATTTTAGGCAAAAATAAGCCCTTACCAAACCTTCTGATTTGTGGAAGTATATAGCTATTAAGGATACATCTACAAAAGAAACACAGAATGGAAACTTTTGTCTGTGTCTTTAATAAATGTTTGTGAAATTACTGTCAAAATAGGTGTAATTAGGATATATACCTTCATGTTAGAGATATACATGATTAAACAACAGTAGCTATATACAGGTTATCTTGAACTGAAAGAAAATTTATGTGTTTATGAAATTGCCTCAGAATATGAATTTATAATTACGGTAGGTCATATTCCACTTGCCGGATTCATTAAGAAATCATTTTTTAATCATTCAAATCACAAAATCTGTTTGCAAAAATCTACATTTTTTATATAAAAATTCCTTGGTCTGCTTTTTTCCCTGATAGAGATCACAAATGATGAAAAAATTGATATTTCATGTTAAGTCTAAACTCTGTGCATGCTTTATGACAAAAAAACACTCTGAAATATTGTTGGAATCAATTCTGTTAACAGGATTTTTTACTGCAAACATCCACCTTTTGATAGTTAAGGCACTTGCATACATACAACAAAATTTGTTCATTGAAAGGTTTTTTTTTCAATTACCAATAGTCAGCTTTCATTTGATAATATATCAAGTTATCTTTTTAGTGCACAAAATGTATGTATTGCTTTGAATAAAAAAGTGTTTTAACTGTCTGTTCTAACATGAAACTTTCTTATTTGTGGTTCTTCACCTTAAGGATATCATAACCATGTCAACAAGGTCCACAATTAGATTGTTTAGCTAATCTACTGGAATCATTAGTTTATTATACCCCACGCAACGAGTTGCGGAGGGTATAATGTTTTTGACCCGTCCGTCTGTCTGTCCGTCCGTCAGTCCGTCAGTCCGTCAGTCCTGTTTCTTGTCATCGCAACTCCTCTCAAACCACACAACAGGATTTCACGAAACCTTTTTAGATAATAAGGACATACTATGTAGTTGTGCATATCGACAGGAAATTACGGATCAATTTTTTTTCTAGGAGTTACGCCCCTTTGAACTTATTTGCTTCAATGTACTACAGCAACAGTTTGTCATCGCAACTCCTCTGATACCACACAACAGAATTTCATGAAACCTTTTTAGATAATAAGGACATACTATGTAGATGTGCATATCGACAGGAAATTACGGTTCAATTTTTTTTCTAGGAGTTACGCCCCTTTGAACTTATTTGCTCCAATGTACTTCTGCAACAGTTTGTCATCGCAACTCCTCTGAAACCACACAACATAATTTCATGAAACTTTGTAGATAATAAGGACATACTATGTAGATGTGCATATTGACAGGAAATTATGATTCAATTTTTTTTTCTTATACAATATTTTTTTCTTACACATATTTTATTTCTCCAATGACAATGTAGGGACGTGGGGTATGTGAGCGCGCTCACTAAGGTTCTTTAATTGTATTTACTGATGTTCTGGATATACTTTTATTATTTGGTCAGTAGAATCTATTCATGTCATTCTGACAAGAGTCTCTTCATCTTGACCTCATTTTCATGGTTTTGTGGCCAGCATCAAGTTAGTTTTCAGTTACTATAAGTAATAAAGTGACTCGCTGTAGTTGGTCCAGATAATCACTGTTAGGTTTACCTGTCCATCTGTCATGTGACCTGATCTCTTATTAATAGGTTATTTATCAACATCTTTTTATAGATATGTTCAGATTTTTTTAATAGTAATAAACAGATTATCTATGGTGTTTCAGACTGGAGAAAGTTTTTAGTATGTATTTCATGGCTACCACTCTTTGATGAGAATGCAGCTGAGAAAATCCGTCTCAATTTTAGAACCATATATAATCTATAAATCTCAATGACTGTCAAAGTATTGTTCAGATATATGTGTTTTTTATATTGTGTCTTTATTTTTGGGAAACATAAAGTTTACAAAGTCTGATAATAAGAATTATTTATGATATTTATTTAAAACTATTCAGAAATCTATGAAGGGTGGTATATATATTAAAGATTATGATAACTTGTTATATTTTTTTAATCATTGGAATTATTTTAAAAGGGCTACAGGTTTACTTATTTTCAGATAGTCATGAATCCCACAGACTGAGGTGGACCTTCTAAATTTTGTCTAGTAGGATCTGCATTGACCCTATCTGTTTTGGTTCTGTTTTCCATGAATTTTCTTTAATATGGCAAGGGCTTTTGTAAAGATCTGCAAATAAAATTAAAAAACTAATTTCTTTCAGCAATGAAAAAAGATATCTTAATTATGCATAAAAGTAGTTTTCAAAGTCTGACAGAGTTGAAAGGAAAATGGCCTGTTCATTAAAAAGAACTATATAATTATACGAGACAATGATCAAATATTTAAAGACTGACTAATTTTTCTTTTCAAATTTGATCTGATATCTTTTTCAGGTAACCATGGTAACTGAATATACCAAACATGGATGTATCACTGAAAGAATAAGAGATTGCAAAACATTGAAAAAGTTTGGAATTCTGGTGATCAGTGATAGTTTACCACAGATCTTTTGGAATTCTGGTGATCAGTGATAGTTTACCACATAACTTTTGGAATTCTGGTGATCAGTGATAGTTTACCACAGAACTTTTGGAATTCTGGTGATCAGAGATAGTTTACCACAGATCTTTTGGAATTCTGGTGATCAGTGATAGTTTACCACAGAACTTTTGGAATTCTGGTGATCAGTGATAGTTTACCACAGATCTTTTGGAATTCTGGTGATCAGTGATAGTTTACCACAGATCTTTTGGAATTCTGGTGATCAGTGATAGTTTACCACAGATCTTTATTGCATTTTATGTATTACCTGAATATTAAGGCATGTAGAATATGTAGATTTAGATTTTTGAAAAATACATTCCATTTGTAGACAATGCAAGAAAGAGAACTTTAATGGAAAATGAATTAATTAGTTCAATGCTTTGAAGCTATGAAGAAGAACATTCTCAGCATCAAATCTGTTTAAAGTTGTCTTGACATGATATTGTATGATGTGTTCTCCAAGTCAAACTTTAATAGTACAGTACTGACCTAAACTTCTTCCAATTATGAAGGAGTAAATTGCCAAGGACAACTCAAAGTGAAAGTTTTTTTTTCCAGTGTGAAATGACTTTTCAAATATGAAAATAAAAAAGTGTGAAATATTACATAATTTTAATTTATTAGTTGGAAATTTAGCCAAAATCTAATGGATCATGCAAATACTACAGTACCCAGTACTGCATGACTTGGTGGTACTCTTTAAATGTATGGAAAAATTAAAAATTACCGCATAATTCAACCTGGTGATGTGGGTGGGAATTTTTTCAGGCCTGTCTAAATGTGCAGGGAAAAAAAATAGAACATAAAGATGCATATTTTGATATTCAGATGTGGTTTGATAGTTTTCATCTTTTTGGTGGTTGAAATCATGATATCAAATTTTCTCTCTGTTCTTGGTTGTTCAATTGAGACAGTATGACTTGAAAGGGGACCATGCCTGATGATGTCACACCAAAAGAACAGACATCTTATCTTGTTCATATATTGTTAGAGGGGCAGATACTGCCACACATGATATGATAGTTCTCTAGTAAACATTTCACATACTTGACTTGTGTTTTTAAACAAGTTTGCTAAAACATTTGACTGCTGTGTATATTTTTCCAAACCTGTTTAATTCTATTTTGCCATTGTAAGTACAGGTATTTGAGCCCATAAAGTTGCCCATGAAAGGGGATCAAGGGTAAGGAATAATGGATATTTTGAGTTCTATTTACTAACAGTGACTTATTAATTTGATCAGTTAACTAAGAGTGATACCTTGGACGTGGCCCTCATCAAAGGACTTATCTGTGTGCCATACTCTAAATTAATGCAATGATATTCTGGCAAGAAAGTTAACTGTCACATCTATTTTCCTAATAGCAGATGCTGACGTAACAGAGATAAAGTTCGTAACAGAGAGGGACTAAGTAAAATAAGTTGAAGACCTGTATATTTCTGTCAAACACCCAAACTTTGTACCATTTAATATCTTGAGAGAAACATGCCATAAGTTATGCAATTAATTTATTTATTTTGACAAAAAAATTGAACATATGTTTTATGTCTCACATCTGCTGGCATGACACATGGGAACGTATACAAAAAAAACGTTTTTTCAATATTTTGCTCAAAACCTTTTGAATTTAATTAGTTTTGATACTATTTTGACAAACTTAATCATTTATAGCTAACATTAAAAAGTTGAAAACCAGTTAAAAATGAAAGATAAGTTCAAAAAGACTGATCAATGTATGATCAACTAATCAGCAGTTTTTTTTTTGGTTTTTTTTTGTGGGGGGGGGGGGGGGGGGGCAAATAACCTTGTTTTGGTTACAGGGTATCCAAGCTTGTTTTTACAGTAATTACTATTTGTGTCTCTTTTATCACTGGATAAGGATTGCCAGTTTTCTTGTCAAAGGTTGCCAGTGTTTTCTTGTCAAAGGTTGATGGTTTTCTCCAAGCACTCGGTTTCCTTCACCAACAAAAACTCTCCAATAGTGCTTAAAGTTGCATTTTACACCAACAATCAATCAATCAATGACCAGAAAAGAAGTGTGTCTTTTTGAGGGAAAACAGTCTGGTCAAATATGATTGTCCAAGGACTCCAAACCTGGGGTTTTTTTCATAATCACATGAAATATTCTGCAGATATGTTTCAGTGTAACTATATCTGGACATTTATTAAAAGAAAAATATTTGTCTGGCAAATATGACTGTTTTCAAACTTTTTTTTTAAAGTTTAATAATTTAACTATCTGACTCATTTTCCATTACCAAAATTTAATATGCTAGTAGATTTAAGATGGTTGTGTGAGGTTAAACATTCCTGCCTTCCTATTATGGATTCAGTATTTTTTTGAAGAAAAATATCTACCACTTGTTACTATTGCTCATAAATTACTGTTGCTATTTGTTAATAATAATTGTATACAAAATTGATTGTATTATTATTGTAGAGTGAGCAATATTCACACTGAATTATGTCCATGATGTAAGATGTCAATGTTTAACAAGCAGAGTATATATATACACGTTGTATATATCTATTTAATTTCCAGCTGTTAAATTTTGAGTAATAAGCCATCACTGCCAGCATTAGACAAATGGAATATTATGTACCATGACAACTTGATAGGATTTTGAATGATTCCAATTTGAAAACTTTGCATGTGGGGACTGAAAGATGTATAAAATTTCACATTTGAAGGCATTTTTGCACTTTACCTTCCCCATCATTACCCATCCACCCCAAGTTTCCTGATTTTGATGCCATTTTTATGCCTAGCCTTCAATAGATCAGGGCATTATTCTTCATAGTCTCTTTGTCTGTCCCATATAAGGTAAAAGTTTTGGTTAAGGGTAGGTTAATGCTTTAATTAAGAAATTTTTCCATGAATTTGTGGTCACATCAACTTAAAACTTACTTCTCATTTTCATTATGCTGTTAACTTTGAAAAATATATATATTAGGGTTTAGACCCAGATTGCACAGTTCACTGTCAGGTTATGTTTTTGGATTAATGAAGTTTACCATAAAATTTAGGATATAATGTGTACTTTAAAATATATATTAGGGTTTGGACCAAGATTTCGCAGTTCATTGATTAGTTTAAAGTTTTGTTTAAGGTAGGTTAAGGTTTTGGTTTAAGGTAGGTTTAAGTTTTGGTTAAGAGTTTTAGTTAAAGATAGGCTAAAGTTTTAGTTAAAGGTAGGTTAAAGTTTTGGTTTAAGATAGGTTAAACATTTGGTTAAAGGTAGGTTAAAGTTTTGGTTTAATGAAGGTTACAGACGAGGTTTAAGGTAGTCTAGCATGATCAACTTGAAACTTAGGACAAATGTTCACTTTGATATAAAACTTAAAAAATATATGCCAAACTATGATTTAGACCCTGATTTCAATGTTCACTGATCATGAACATATGATGGGGCAGTTGGACATGGTATAGACATATATTCTTGATTTTCTTCCTATGTGAGGATTGCCTGATACTATAAATGGTTGAATAAGAAATATAATAAAATGTACAAAAATGTAAGATTAAGTATTTAATAGTGTTAACTTATTAAAAGTTTATTTATAATTGTATATGTGTATAAGTCCTGTTGTAGATTTGATTATTGATGTATATTTTACCATACATATCTCATTCAAAGGTTGTGAATATTATTTAAGGATTGTTTTAACTGTAATATATTTAAATGACCTAGCAAAATGTATATAATCCTCAATTTTTATAATTTATGCTATATTGAATTTTAAAAATGAATAATAAATGGACAGCAAAATGAATCATTGTTTTAGTTACATTTGTTGACATTTTATTAATGCAAAATATCAGCGCATTTCGACAATTAATGTCTCTTCAGTGATACTCAAGGCCAAAATATATGAAAATCCAAAACTTATTAAAAAACGAAGAGATTGTAAACTGAAAAGGATAAAAAGAAATATAGCCTAAGCTGGGCAAGGAATCGGAGATTTGCATGAGGGAGATATGTTCCTTAATTCAAATAATTTCAAAAATTTGCAAACTCAATTTCAACTGCTGAAAAGAATCATAGTCATGTCAACAGAGCGCAAGGTTATAGGATAAAGTATAGTTACAATCCTTTAAGATTTGAATTCCACTTCAATGCTATTATGACAATGTTGCATAAAATTTCTCTTGATATTGTTATTGTAAATAGTCATTTAAAAGGTGAGAGGGAGTAATTTTTGAATTGCTATAGAAAAACTAAGTTTTCATTACTATATTTTTTTTAAAAGGCCTTTTACATTTATAAGAATCAGATATCAGTTTGAATTGAATCATTAAAATATATGTAAAGTAACAATATGTTGTTAATTAGCTTTCTATGCGAGAGATCATCAAATATTGATGGTTGGTTGGATAACGTCCAGTGTGATAATCTAATATCTATCTGTCATATGGATTGGACTCACTGTTTGATTTCCCTTTAAAGCTTCATAAAAACATATTTTAGCTAAAAGTATATTTCAAAAAGTATATTAGATTTCAATTTATAATGACAGCTTTAAAATTCAAACATATATGATTGTAAGTATGCTTTATTTTATCACCTTGCACTTTGTTGACTTGACTTTTCAGCCAAGTAACCTTTGTGGCCAAGTGGCCTTTGTGGCCTTTGTGGCCAAGTGGCCTTTGTGGCCAAGTGGCCTTTGTGGCCAAGTGGCTTTGTGGCCGAGTGGTATAAGTAGTTCAACTACTGGTTACTAGCCTGTCAACAGTGAGGTCATTAGTTTGAACCCCTCACATGTCAGGTGCGCTAGACTCCAATTTTAATTGACAAGTATTGTCAGTTTTCCTGCCGAAGGACATGGTTCTCTCAAGGCACTCTGGCTTCCTCCACCAATAAAAACTGACCACCACAAAATATCCAATGGTGCTAGCATCAATCATATAATCTTTTCAACATTTTTTAAAATTCTGACCATTTCAACAGTTTTTAACCGGATTTTTGTGTCAAAAATGTCAGTTATTGATTTGGGGATGTACGGCGGTCGGTCGGTCGGACGGGCGGGCGGGCGGGCGGCAACCAAATGTTGTCCGTGCATTTACTCATGAACCATTCAACCAAACCTTTTAAAATTTTAATATGTTGTTACTGACAACAAAATGGAGGTCAATGAAAGTTTAAAAAATGTCGTGTCCGTGCATTTACTCATGAACCGTTCAACCAAACCTTTTTAAATTTTAATATGTTGTTACTGACAACAAAATGGAGGTCAAGTTTAATAATGACGATTTTGACTTTTACCGTTCAGGAGTTACAGTTCTTGAAAGTTTAAAAAATGTCGTGTCCGTGCATTTACTCATGAACTGTTCAACCAAACCTTTTTAAATTTTAATATGTTGTTACTGACAACAAAATGGAGGTCAAGTTTTATAATGACGATTTTGACTTTTACCGTTCAGGAGTTACGGTTCTTGAAAGTTTAAAAATTGTCGTGTCCGTGCATTTACTCATGAACCGTTCAACCAAACCTTTCGGTTCTCCATCTTCTCGACTTCAACAAGGACAAGATCACAATTGACAAGAATGTCAAAATTGAGATATCCCGACTTAGAAATGAGAAACAGATTGTTTACAGTCAATTGCCACTTGCAAAGCCAAAACTTGCTATCTTATGCCATAATGCAAGATCATTACACAAACACATAGACGACTATAGAAATGATGATCGTATATATCAGAATGATGTAATATTTATACAAGAAACTTGGGCTAAAAAGTCAGATTCATTAGATCATTATATGTTGAATGGTTTTAATCTCATTGACTTTTACCCACATGCAATACATTTACACAGACCTCATTGTGGCATCTTTGCATATGTAAAAGAAGGACTACAGGTTGATTCAATAGAATTCATTGAGGAAGAAGGGATAGAGGGAATACAGTTGATAGTGTCATTATCTGAAAAACACTATTGTCTGACATCAATATACTGTCATCCATCAACCAATGTGGACAGCATTTGTGATACAATACATTCTGTTGTGACACCCAATCATTACACAGTTCTTCTTGGAGATATCAATATTGACCAATTCAAACAAACTACGCAGTTGAAAAAACTTCAGAGTACTATGCATGCACTTAATTTAGGCCAAGCTCATATCGATGAAACCACAGACAATCATTCTTCCATTGACCATGCCTATATTACAAGACAACAACAGTTTGAAAGTGGGAGCCTAGAAAGTTATTGGAGTGACCACAAGATACTATGGTTTCATATTTTATAAGGTTTAAGTCTCATAAACGTATCTCTTCCTTGTTTGACTTCATGATTTCTGCCTACCCACCCCTGCTGAACAAACGTGTGTGTACTTATATGCTCTCTAATATTTCAAAATGATGTCACTTATGATAACTAGATGGTCAAACAGGTCAAGCTTGATTTTTGCCTTTCCATTTGAAACCATACAATTCATTCATTTTTTTTTTTAGATATTTTCAAAATCCTAGGTAGGTGGACTTAGTAATTTTTTTTTACTTTATGCATTAAGGGCACACAGTTTGTCCTGCTAGAGGGTCATTTTCTATCTAGTTTATATGTTGTTATTGTTGACAACATGGAAGTCAAGTTTGATATTGATGATCATAAATTTTACCTATTAGGAGTTTTGGTCCTTGTGATATTGATTAATGCCAGAACACAAATAAATGTTAAAGAATCCGGTTTACTGTCATTTTGACAGCTCTTGTATTTGATAAAACAAATTGCAATTTGGTCTGAGTTTTGAATTAACTGCAATAGGTGGAGAGCAACACTTCACAGTCAAGTCACAGAAAGCAAGCAATAATCAATCAGCAGAATGAATTGTTGATTTATTGTTGTTTGCTTAATATCAGCAGCAAATATTGCATGCAAACTCAGGAAAAGAAACAAAATAGACAAAAAAACCAATGCAGGGGTGGATCCAGCCATTTTTAAAAGCTCACACATTTAATGGATTGAAAGTTCCTATTTTGACCAGACAAGACTGCACATTTATATACCTTGCGCAACCAGATCCTGTTCAGCATTAATCTTACTGTCATACTGATTAGGTGTCAGATGACCATTTTTCTATATCCCAAACAATCACCCTGGAGGTTTGTTTATGAGGTGTCTTTCTATTGTACAGTGGTTGGATTGGTTTTCTGGAATAACTCTAATCAGGTATAATCAGAGGCAAAGGTTTGCAAGCTAAAGAGAGGAGAGGTTTGGTAAAATTTAGAAAAACACAAAATTAAACATTTGATTGGTTTTATTAAAAAAATGATAAGGATGATATAGTCTTGTTGCTTTGGTGCAGATTTGGCTCTATAACAGTATGTTTGACCGGACTGGTCATTTTTGTATTGCCTTTTAAATAATAATGCTGTTTCCAGCGGCGGCATATTAGTTTGTGATTAGGTCAGTTTATGGTGAACCACTATTAGAAAGTCAGTGATATTTGGTATACAGTTGTATTAACATTGGCACATCTCATTTCCATGGAGATTATTTGGTCCCACACCCTCAGTCAGGGACTATTTACTTTGAAACTTTTAGTTAGTTTACATATATTAGTTTGTGATTATGTCAGTTTATAGGAACCACTAGTGGTAGGTCAATGATATTTGGTATGAAGTTGTACAAGCAATGGCACATCTCATTTCCATACAGATTATCTGACACCCCCCCCTATCTCAGTCATTGACTTTGAAATTTTGCTTAGTTAGCATGTATTAGAGTGTGATTAGGTCAGTTTAAGGGGAACCAATAGTGGTAGGTCAATGATAATCGTTATGCAGTTGTATAAGCATTGTACATCTCATTTCCATGGAGAATATTGGGTTCTATTGACTTTGAACTTTTTTTATAGTTTACATGATTAAGTTTATGATTAGGTCAGTTTGAGGGGAACCATTAGTGGTAACTCAATGATATTTTGTATGCAGATGTATAAGCATTTGCACATTTCATTTCCATGGAGATTATTTGGCCCAGTCCCTTCATTCATAGTCTATTGACTTTGAAAGTTTTGCATAGTTTACATGTTAAAGTTTGTGATTAGATCAGTATAAGATGAACCACTAATGTTAAGTCAATGATATTTGGTATGCACAAGGATTTGTATAGTGAGTATATCACTATACAAATCCTTGGTATGCATTTGTATTTGAAAGTCTCATTTCCATGGAGATTATGTGGTTACACCCCCTTATCATGGTTCATTGACTATGAAACTTTTACATATAGTTTACAAGTTAATGTTTGTGTTTAAGCTTTTTTAAAGGGAAAATTCAGGTCAGTTTATGGTGAACCATTGGTGGAAGGTCAATGGTATTTGGTATGAAATTGTATTAGTATTGGCACTTCCCATTTCCATGGAGATTGTTTGGCCCTGTACCTTCAGTCACGGTTCATTGACTGAATATTTTGCATAACTTGCACATTAAAGTATTGCAATTTATTTCCATTTTCAAAATAACAAAAAAGGTGAGACATATCTCTGTGTAAACAGTTTATTCCTAAAGTTGTTAATAAAATTACATATGAAATAAAGATGTTGTAATCACAGAAACAAATCTTTTATGAAAATATCTTTGGATATGAAATAGCCCTGGGCACAGTTTCATATGATAGAATATAACAGTATCCCCATAAATTCTTGTCACTTCTAAAACAAAATTTATAAGCAGACCTGAAGCCCTTGGCTCAGATTGACTTGATATTAAGAATAATTCACAATTAAAATATGAATTCTACATCTAGGAAAAAGATTTCACATG